CTTTTCCTCTTCTGGTCACGGCTGCCTGAATTAATGTGGGCATGAGCTGCAGGTGAGGGCCCAGAGCTCCCTGTGAATGGCAGGTCCCAGGCAGTCTGCCTGCTCCTCTATCCTAAACTCCTTTCTCTTCACCTCTCATGACCCTGCTCTGTACTTGAAATGTGGAAAAATTATCTTGAAAATTGTATAATATGTACAACATATTTTGGCCATATCCATCTTCTACCCCCTAATTCCTGAATCTCCCTGTAACTCCCTTCCAACATCTTCTTCCTTCCTGTCTTTCTTCTTCTTCTCTCTCTCTCCTCTGTCTCTCTCTGTCTCTCTCTGTCTCTCTCTGTCTCTCTCTCTCTCTCTCTCTCTCTCTCTCTCTCTCTCTCTCTCCTTCCTTCCTTCATGGTTTTTTTTTTTTTTTTTTTTTGAGTCAGGGTTTCACTGTGTAGCCCTGGCTGTCCTGGAACTCACTATGTTGACCAGGCTGGCCTCAAACTCACAGAGCCACCTGCCTTTGCCTCCGGACTGCTGGGATTAAGGGTGTGGACCACCATTCCCAGCTTTGTTTTTTAATAACTCACCGAGTCCCAAATTAATGATACCAAAATGTTCATGGATATGACATCATCAAATAGAACATGTTTAATTTGTTAGGACCCATAGTCCAGAAGAAAACTGACTTGCTTTCTGCTGGCCTATTCTACCACTCTACTGAGGTGACTAAGGAAGGGTTCGAAGCCTTTGGCCTGGCCTGTCTGCTGTTCATACATGCAGATGGGCAGCTCATTCATTTGGATGGGTGTGAAGAGAAGCCCACGTGGAGGCCGGTTCCTTGGTGCCTGCATGTTCCCTTGGACCAGACAATGCTCTGCTTCGGGAAGCTTCCCCGTGCACTTCTCTCCCTGTCCCAGTAGCACCCCTCTCTAATTGTGACAGCTTCAAATTCCCCAGACAAAAATGCACAATTACTGGATACCATTTAAAAAATACTAAAGCACATGGGCAGGGCGGGGGTGGGGTGGCTACCACCATTAGCTGTTGTGAGCCACTGTTGTAGAAAACGCAGGGAATCGCGATCAGTCTCCTCCACATGGCTGACAACACCGGGAAGGGATGCTGATGTGGCAATCAGCCGGGCTTAGCAAGGCTCATTATTGTTTGAGCCTCCTGGTTCTGTGCTAGCCTTTGCTAGCACATTCACAGCCACGGCTGCCAGCCATAAGAGCTCACTGAGGATGCCCTCTGCAAGCAGTGGTGCAGCTGTGCCACCCACCCTGTGCTTATGAGTGAGAACATAGAGACACGAGGAAACCCAGCTGGCAGTAGCAGAGTCACCAGGCATTACAATTACACGGGGTTATGACCTGTCAGGTTACTGTCCTTCCTGGTGTGCCTATACTTCTCTTTCATGAAACCATCATTACTGAGAGCATCACAACCCTTTGTCTATGTCGGCTTTGTCAATGTTGACATTGGCATTTGCCAGGGTGCCTGTTCCCAGGTGTCTGCATGGCCTGCTCCCCTATTTCTAGAGAGACTCGCTCTCAGAGATAATGACCCCTAGACTTCTGTACCATAGGACACCCCTCTACCCTGACCACGTACCCTGCACCAGCATAGACTGGATTATTGTTTATCCCCACGCCCACATCCCTCAGCACCAACACCCAGAACGTTTCTTGGCATATGCTAGTGCCTGTTACGTGCACAGAATGAATAAAGATATACTTAGCAGAGACATATCCAGACGTGGGCTATTGGTAACTACTTTTCTGCAATACTGTTGAGACATTTGTGAGAAGAATGGCTTAATCCTGGGACTCTGCCAGCAGGAGGGCCAGGGAACTGGGCTATCCTGACTAATGCCTGTCACTCACACATACTCATTTAACGAATTTTAATTTCTTAGTCTGTAAAAGTAATCCAATAGAATTATGATAATATACATGCAGGCATTATGTTTAGGATTAGGCAAAACAAATCATATAGTAAATTACAAGCTACAACTTATAAAAATATTACAGGTTAACACCAGGTCATATTCTGAACAAAAATTACTTTTATATAGCCACTATTCACAAGTTGAAAGTAAAATAGTTTTAATTAAACTTTGTTAAAATGTTAGCAATTGCTGTCATTACATAGAAAGTGAAACCACACAGGAATTATAGCTAGAAATACTGTTAAATTGTAGTGGAAGTTCACTATTGCTCTTCTCATTGTTTTCTAAACTTACTTATTTATTAGGTATACAGATGTTTTGCCTGCATGTATGTTTGTGTACCACAAGCTAGAAGTTAGAAGAGGGTATTGGATCCCTTGGAACTGGAGTTTCAGACAATTGTGGGCCATCTCACCGGTACTAGGAATTGAACCCAGATCCTCTGCTAGAGCAGCCAGTTCTCCTAATTGTTGAACCATCTCTCCAGTCCCTATGTATTTTTTTTTGTGATGAGGTCTCTAATTGAACCTGGAGCTCACACTTTTGGTCAGATTAGCTGGCCAATGAGCTTCAGAAATGTACTGCCCCCTTAGGCATAGCAGAGCTGAGTGTAATTGCCCACTACCGTGTCCAGTGTTTTAACATGGGTTCTGGGCCTCTGAACTCAGGTCCTCCTGCATGTGTGGCAAGAAAGCCACTAACTAAGCCATCTCTCCTGCCCCAGGTCCTAAGCTCTTGAGGAGTTCTGGAAGGTACTTGGATTTGGGTGTTAGAATAAATGTGTTCTTTTGAAGCGGTATATAAATTAACAACAATCAACCCTGCTAGCAAAGGCAGCTAGCTACTCAAGTTTCTTAGATGATGCGGCACAGGGTTGCTGCTCAGAAGAATGGTGGGGGAGAATTCTGACTTTATGAAGTGAGAAACAATAACAAGCCAAAGGAAAATCCAAAATGGCAGATTCTGTCAGGTTTAGGCTAGATGAGTCATTAAAAAAAAGTCAGAGCTCAGAGGTTCATAAAATTCCAGAGCTCTATGGACACACACACACTCTCTCTCTCACTCTCTCTCTGTGTGCGTATGTGTGTATGTGTATACGTGTGTGTGTGTGAGTGTACAATGCTTATGCAGGTGCCCATGATTGTCAGAAAAGAGATTCAGATTCTCAAGTAGGAGTTACAGGTGATATGAGCCACACAACATAAGTGCTTGGAACTGAACTCAGGCTTCTCCAAGAGCAGTCTATACTCTTAACTCTGAGCCATCTCTCCAGCACTTTCTATAGATAGTTCTCCTTGTTCTTTTCACCCCAGGGGTAAAGACACGTGTTTAGTAGGTCTTGGAGCCAGCAGGTGAATTTTGTTACTGCCTAATATAGAGGGCATCTTGTGCCAGGAGAAGCTAATAGGCCCTGGGGAGCCAACAGGGCTGTGCAATGAGCATCCAGAATCCCACACTGAGGGGCTCTGATCCCACTTGAGGAAGCACTCAACAGTGTACATTTGTACAAAGTGGTCCCAAAGCACAGGTGGACCTGGGGACATCTGCAAAGACTGGGAGAAACAACTTTCCTTATCAGGGGCATGACTATTAGAAACAGGAGGAGATAAATACTAGAATCAAGGTCTTCTGGCCAAGAAATTAGAGTAAAAGAATTATGTGTAGCTATCCCAAAGGGATGCACACTTTGTTACAATGCATGTATTGCACAAGAAAGGGCTGAGTTGCGGGTTGACAGCTGTTGTATTGAATATACAGTGTCCCACACAGGCTCATATATTCATAGCTTGGTCCCCAGGTGGTGCTGTTTGGGGAAGTTACAGAACTTCCTGGTGGAGCCTTGCTGATGGAAGTGTGTCATTGGAGGTGGGTTTTCAGGGTTATACAGCCTGGCCCAACTTCCTGTTATTTCTCTCTGCTTCCTGTGTGTGAATGAAATACGATCTGCCAGCCTCATCATACCCATGCTACCATACCTTACCCACCAGGAGAACTGTACCCCACTGGGAGGGATTATAAACCAAATAAACCCATTCTCTCCAAAGTTGCTTTCTACGATTGTGTTCTATTACAGCAACGGACAAGCAACTAATGCAGCTGCCTTCCGCTTTTTTTCCCCCTTCTCTTCTCTGTGTATCAGGCCTGGCTGTCCTGTAACTCATTCTGTAGACCAGGTTGGCATCAAACTCACTGAGACCCTCCTGCCTCTGCCTCTCAAGTGCTGGGATTAAAGATGCGTTGCCATCACTGCCCGGCTTTTCCACCAATTCTTAAGACAACAGAGGCTCAATTCATCCAAAAGTGGTAGTGATTTTTATGTATTAGATAATAGCAAAAGATAGTAAAAAAACAAAACTCTACAAGATGGTTATGTCCATTGTTAAACTCCGTGAGAATGAAGATTGGCTACTGGTAGTTAGAAAAACATACAAGGGGAATTCAAAACAGAAACTTGGGTTATAATTTTCATATTACTGGAGGGCAGTTTCACAGATACCAGGTAAACACTGAGGAAAGATGCCATCTAGACCAATTCCAGCCATGATCTTGAGTGCTGGCCCTGTTGGGCATGGTGTTCACTTCCTGTGTCTGGTAATTGATAGTGAAATGGGCAGACTCACAGGTAAGCAACCATGCCTGCTTCTGATTCATTGAATCTGCTGGGAACTCTGAGGGTCCAGAGTCCAGGTCTGTGTGGAAGTTTCTTGGAGCTCTTTGGTGAATGACCCATTTCTCTGGTTTTTATCCTCCCTTTCTCATTGGGAATATGTACACAGGGAGGTTTATGACTTGCTTCATGGATGCTGCTGCTTGGTGTCTAGTTGACCTCCAGGCCACAGTCTCTGAGGTATGCACAGGTAAGAAGGCCAAGGAGAGAAGAAAGGCATCAGTCTATCTTGCTTGGTAGCCTGAAGGAACTGCTCAAGGTTCTCGAGTCTCTTCAAGACAGAAAGAGATTGCTTCTTGTAGAGTAGACCTGAGTACAGACACAAAGACTTCTGCTTGTGTCTGGGAAGGCACAATCGATGCTCAGCTCACTCATCAGGTGATATGGTTAAGGCTGGAACTAGTTGGTACAGACAGATCTGCTAAGCCTTCTCACTAGACTTGCCCTAAATTATGGAAGGAAGATAGAAGATCCAGTGACAGGTTGCCTTGCTCTTGTTGGGATCTGACCTTGCGGTATCCCAGCAAATCCATAGCCTCACTACAGGCATCTTGAAGTTGAGAAACCTTTTCATAAGGCAAAGACCAACGCCATGCCTGAGAGACGTTGATGGCATCCCTGGAGTTAGTGTCGAAGGTATGCTGACCCATGCCCTTGCCACGGGTGACGTTGTGAACCCAGGTGTGGAGATGGGGCAAGAATTTCAGCCCCACAAATTTGTATAGCCTGGAGGTCTGGGCCAGCGGTTCCCGAACTAAGTCCTCGTACCTCAGGAGCAGAAAGCGCTGCTGCATCACCTCAGGCAGGGTTTGTATGGCCTTGATTATGTCCACGTGGCTTTTGCAGATGATCTGCATGGTATAATAGGGCTGGTCTTCCTCCTTGATCATTTTCAAATGCTCTCCCAGCACAATGTGACTATCAATCATGAGGTCTCCTCTGGTGCGTTCCCGAGATCGGAACACAGCCCGGGGGTCTCGGACCAGGTGTACAATGTGTAGGTTGAGGGAAGGATCTGTGAGCAGTGGGTAAAGGGCCTGCAGGTTGAAGAAACGCACCTCCTTGAGTACCACATGACTGTGAGAGCGGCAGGCCTTCTCCACCATATCAAAAGGCTGCTGAGCACAGAGCAGCTTGCAATCCTTAGCTGAGCTGATCTGGTCACTAGAGAAGACGTCACAGACAGGTGATGAGCACAGGGCCCGGCTTTGCTCCCACTGGAAGAGGCTGGACTGTTTTCGGGGGCCTGGTTTCATGTAGGCATCAAAGACACTCATGTCACACAGGAAGGTGGAACGCAGAAGGTCCCGTGCAGCCATATGCAGCTTCCAGGCCGTGCTGCTGGTGAAACTCATCCACACATGCCAGGCAGGCTCCATCAGGTAGAAGACATCCGGGTGCTGTCCAAATACCTGCCCCACAAAAGAAGATCCAGACCGCCAGGAAGATAAGACCAGCACATGCATGGGCCTCCTGGGCTCTTCGTTCTGGAACAAGCCCCTATGGCCGGATGTATGGAAGAAGAGCGCTATGACTATCATCTGGGAGCCCAGGAAGAGCAGCAGCTTCCCTTTCTTAGACAGGGTCATTCTGTGGAAGTAGAAGACCTTTAAAGGGCAAGCAGAGAGATGGGGCTGAGTTAGGCTATGGTAGCATCTACCTTCTGGGTTCTCCTGGACACTCTCCAAGGAGCAACGTAAAACTTGAGAAACTTCCCGCAAACACTTGTCCAAATCCCTCTGCAGAACAATTCTGGCTTCTTGCTCTTATTGGATCATTGTGTTCTGTATTTTACAGTCTTTAAAACATTCCCTTCTGGCCTTTCTTGTCCATTGAACTATCAAGAATATCCCTACTCAGCTATAGTCAATCACTATAAGGGATGCTGCCACACCTCACACCTTCTACACCCCTGACAGAGAGTGGCCTGCAGGCAAAGTTGCCTGACTAAGTCATGCTTGAATGCCTTTGGTTTTCCTCAATCCAAGGGAAGTGTGAGGCTTAGCTACAGGCTGCCATTAGGTCACTCCTCATGTGAAGGAGAGTCTCATAAGACCATTCCTCATCTCTCCCCCATTTTGATGAAGCCTGGGACCTCCCACTGTAATCTCCTGAAGGCTATGGATGTAGGCTGTCAAACTGCCTGGCTTTAGAGTTCTCTCCTTAGTGGAAGAACAATATATCACATTTGGCATTGGGTTCCTTCTGACTTAGCTTCACCCTATGGGACTAAGAATGTAGGGGAGCTGACCCAAAGCTAACCTTGTGTCTGTGCAGGAGGTAAATGACCTGAACCCATCTCAGCAGAACCATTGTCTCCTTAAAAGCAACTCTATGGAAGTGTGGTGGGGCTGCCTAGGAGCTGGTTAGACACCTGTGTCTGCTTGGATATGGGACTTTGCTTGGGAAATGCCTGGCTGCTTTGAAAACATATGCAGGACTATGTAGCACAGTAGGGCAAGTTGTGCTGCACAATAGCAGAGACTGTGCTTTCTTTTGTAATTCATGTAAAAATGCACAAAGACTGGCAGAACCCCTGATGTTACTCTTTTACAGTGAGGGCTTATTTCATATGAAAAGACCTTCATGTGGGGCCCTTGGTAGGTCAGCTGTGCTCCAGGCCATGGCCTCACATCCCTGAGCCCACAAATTGGACTTGGTGGGTTATTAAAAAAAGACATGGGATTTGGGGCATGGGGGATGGGTAAGGAGGTGAGGGTAAATCTGAGAAAAGTTGGGGGGGAGGATTGTACGCATGTATGAAATTCTCAAAGAACTATTAAAATATATTAAAATGTGTAATAATGGAAAGTTCATATTTCAATGCAGAGAGAGAGAGAGAGAGAGAGAGAGAGAGAGAGAGAGGAGAGAGTACACTGAAATCAACAAGAAGGATTAGCAGGTAACAGGACTTGATACACCTGAGTTTGATTTCCAGGACCAATATGGTGGAAGAAGAAAACTGTCTCCCACAAGTCTACTGACCTCCACAGGTACATGTGTACATAGACACCCACATGCAGGCACATATACACACATGCATAGGCATATACACACTTGTACATACATGCACACACACAATTTCAAAAAAATAATAAACACAGTCCAGTACCACGTGCCATGCTGGTGCATCCCTCCTAGATAGTTTTTTAAAAATTATTTGTCTTTTATGTATGTGTTGGCTTATACACCACATGCATATAATACCCTTGGTGACCAGAAGAGGGTGTTGGATGCCTGAGGACTACAGTTACAGAGGATTGCTAGCCACCATGTGAATGCTGGGAACTGACTCCTAGTTCTCTGTAAGAACAGCCTGAGCCCTTAACCAGTGAGCCATCTCTCTAGTCTCTCTTAGAGGTTTTAATGCTCTTTTCTACATCATTCTGGATCAAGTGACTTCTTGACATAAATGACCAAGAGACATATATCATCATGCATATATCATCACGTGTCCTAGAGATTCTCCCTTGTAGCCTTAGTAAAGGAGGGAAGGGGCTTGCTCTTCTTGTTATGACAGACTCATCAATTAGAGTTTCTTCTTTTGGGTGGTGCATGCCTATAACCCTGTGTACATGGGAGGCCAAAGTAGGAGGATTGCAGCTTGAGCAGTTAAATGAGGTCCTCTCTCAGAAATAAAAGAAATATATGAGAGAGAGGCTAGCTGTGTAAGTCAGTGGTAGAGTGGAGGGAGTAGAGGAGTTCCTGAGTGTATGTACGAGGAGTGGATGGGTGAAATCCCAAGAGTGAGTATATATCGTTGACATGAGCATGGTCATATCAAAGACCCCAACATCTCAGACTCATGGAAATGGCAAAGCTTTCTTGGTCCTAGTATGAATGTTAACAGTGTGTACAGAATGCATCAACCCTCATCTGGGATGTTTCCAGCAGGAGACTGCTCTCCTGAAGACCCTCAACTGAAGCTAGCCAGCCCCTCCCCCTTGTGTAGTGCATAATAAACATGCTGAGTTTTGGTGTTGTGTTGTAGGCTCCCTCCACCCCAGCCCAGCTTTTTTATGTCCTTTCTTCATTTCCATGTCATCCCAGTCATGTTTCCAGGACCCAGCTGTGTAGGACACAGCCGTAGAGCACCTGCCCAGCATATGCTAGGCCCTGAGTCCTAATGGAAATTAAGTACTGTTAGAACAACTTCTATTTCAACCTCTAAAATAGATTTTACACATGTGCTGGTTAGTTTTCTATTCTTAACTTTCCAGCATCTAAAACCACACAAGAAGACATCCTTAATTGAGGAATTGTCTAGTTCAGGTTGGCCTGTGGGCATGTCTGTGGTGGGCTGTCTTCATTGTTAAGCGGATGAGCTCCATTTCTTGGGTAGCCGCTGGGATTTCTCTGCAATAATGAACTCTAATCTGCACCTGTGAGCAGATAAACCCTTTCCATTCTTAAATTGTTTTGTACAGGACATTTTGTCACAGCAACAGAAACAAAACTAGAATAAGACTGGATAATTGTTATTAACTCTAGGAGATTCCTTTCAAAGGCTTTGTTTTTGTTTTGTTGTAATTTTCAGATAGGTTGGTCTGGATCTTACTATGTAGCCCAAGATAACCCTAAACTTCTGCCTCAGTCTCCTAAGTGCTAGAATCACAGGAATGAGCCACTAAGCCCAGCTTTTAAATGTTTACATATTTATGTTTATTAGCATATTTTAAATATACAGAATAGTAAGTCTCACAATGTTATTTCTGTACACATATATGAGCCAGTATTTATCTTTGTCATTGGTATACAGTGAAAACTCTACCTCCAAACCTGTCTTGTTATCTCTGCTACACACAGTGGGTTCATTTTATTGTGTCGTTTCAGTTGCAAATCATACACCCAAGGCAAGGAGATTCAAATATTTATATGCCCTTCATTTCTTTCTTACAAAGAGGAACATAGTAAGGTATCTCTCTCTACTCTGAGTGTTGTGCTTTTTTTTTCCTTCTTGTCAGCATGTCTTGGGGGGGGGCACAGAACACAGAGCATTTCCTTGTTTCTTTTTACCACATGGAATTCTGTTGTATGGACACACATAAGTTTATCTAACCAAGGGTCCCTGGGCAGTTTTCAAGCTCCCCTTATTTCAAAGGCTTCAGTCACGAGCCTCTTGTCTACACACTTGTAAGATTAAATCTCCAGGAGTGAGATGTTGAGTCAAAAAGTGTGTGTGTGTGTGTGTGTGTGTGTGTGTGTGTGTGTGTGTGTGTGACTTAGCCAGCCATTGCCATGCAGCCTTCATGATGCCTGTGAACAAGGAGGGAGGTACTGGAGAGTGGGTTTGGGAGGAGGAGGCATCCACAGAGGTGCTTGGAGTTTGTAACTTACTTCCTCAAGAGGCAGGACATGATTTGCCAGCTCTCAGGCTTCCCTTGGAAGTCCCCTTGAACAGTCTGGAAATGTGTCATAACCCTCACCAGAGTTTGTGTGGCAGTGGTGCTGCCCCCATCCCCCATCTCTTCCATTCATTACCAGTCATACTTTCCTTCTGGATGTACCAAAAGCCTCAACCAAGGATCAGTTTCTTTTTTCTTTTGTGGATGTGTATGCCTATTTGTGTGAATACCACTGTAAAACTTTGGGTGTCATTCTGTTCTTTACATAGAACATAACTTCCTTCCTTCCTTTCTTCCTCCCTCCCTTTATTCACTCATTCCCCCCCCCCTCTCATTTAGTCAGGGCCTCTCACTGGCCTAGAGCTTGCCAAATACGCTTGGCTGGCTGGTCAATGAACCCAGGGAGCTCCAGCTCCTGGGTTACAAATGTATGCTACCATGTCTGGTGTTTTAAAAACATGAAATTTGAGGGTCAAACTCAGGTGTTCTCAAGGTGAGCACCTTACCTATGGCTCTGTCTCCCTAGTCCTTATCACTTCTTTGTGGCCAAAATATTCTTCCACTTTTTCAGGCTTGGTAGTTAAGAACACTTGCTGCCCAAGCATAGAGTCATGAGTTCATATCCCAGCAACCAAGGAAAAGCCAGGTGTATCCATGTTGTGGGAGAACAGAGACAAGAGGCTGGGGCTTGCTGGCCCCAAAGTCTAGTGAGAGATCTTACCTCAAAAGACACTTGACAACCTTGCCTGGCTTCTGCATGCATGAGTATGGCTTGCTCCCCTATACTCACAGAAGCCCCCTCCATTCCCATGATGCTATCACAAGTCCAAGGGGGAAACCATGTCTTTGCTGATTGTGGTTTAAGTGCATCCCCTGCCCCCCACTACCACAAGGCAGAGAGCTGTTCCTAGGGACAATTTGAGTATGGGAAACGGAGTAGAGCAAAGATAGGAAGCAGTGAGGTATAGGGGAGAGGGGAACTCAGCCTGTGGATACCCAGAGGCTGGGCTGGACTTTTACAAGCGGGTCCTGTGACTGCTAACATGCCCTGGAAGTAGGAAAGCAGGGGTTTCCTTCCATCCTAGCCCTGAGCCAACACTGCCCTGCAGGGATTGATGGCTCTATGCCTTTCTTATGTGCCAGCTGACCCTGGGCCTCAAGCCAGCCCCTTTCTGTGTTTCCTTTCATTTATTTTTTTTCTTTTGGTGGGGCGGCAGGCTGGGTGTTGGGGAGGGACCAGGCTC